CAATACATTTAAAGAAAACTTGATCATAATCTTATACTGCGGCAACTGTAGTTCTGTTTACGGTTGCCTCTTTATGATACGGGCCACCACCACCTCCACTGCGCTGGAGCTCTGGCGTTCTACCCCTCCCCACTACGGACCGGCCCTCGGGCTAGGTGTGTTAGTACTGAGCGCAAACCTGTAGTAGTCACGTGACTTTCATTCACGTAGCGGGAACGGAAGCTATAGGCGATACCAAGGACGGGCTCTGGGGAGGCAACCGGCGCGGAAAAATAGCACGATTGTAGTTTTAGAAGAATATCTGTTGCGGTAAGAGGAATTATACAAAACGTAGGTCCTAGGAGCAAACATGTGTTATTCCTCCATACTTTGCGCTACATTTCCTTTCTCCAATGGCCAGCACTTAGCAAATAATAGCGCCATTCTAAATTGGTAATATATGTGTACAGTAGCAACTGCGGGTCCCTGTACCTCTTATGACGTCATAACTCCGTGACCTGACATGACCCGATCAATTTTTTTTTGGCAAAAGATGCGCAAAGGTTGCCCCAGAGGGTATTGAAAATTTCAGCCCGCTACGACAAGCCGTTTAGCGTGCACTTCGAAAAAACCTCAGGGGGGGTTGATACAACCCCCCCCCCTAGGCGTTCTAGGGTTAAGGTATTGACCTCGAGTCAAGGTCAGTTCAGAGCCCATCAGGCCACGAACTTAATCGAAGGAGGTCGTATCGCATATCATTCGATTCGGGAGGTCTTCCCGAGTCCATTGGTGGCTTTCCCGAGTCGCTGGCTCAATTTGATCGTGAGTTATTGACGAGAAACTCCTATGACCGGTGTGACGTCATAAATGACGTCACGGAAGGTCAACAATGCAAAAGTAAAGCATCGGATCTTGCAAGGAGTGCACGAAATCACGATTCCGTGTGCTTGAGATAGTTTGAAATCACTCCATGCGCAAAAACAACAGTTTCCTTATTTCCCCATTCACTTTTAATGGCGAGGTCACGTGACCTCGAAGAGTAGCAGGCATTAGCGAAAATTGCGAGTAGGGCACGACAGAAAGATGATTGGTGGTTTGTATGGCATGGCCATTTTTAGCGGCTCGAAATAACATTTCTCAAAAAGTCTAACTAAAGAGCAAGTTGTTGTTGATTATCACTGACTTGTGTTTAGGGGTTAATAATGACTGAATTTTTTAGTTTGGCCCAGAAATGTTGACAGCATTGTGTGCGTTGATCAATTCGGAGCTCAGGGACATATATTTTATTTGGATTATAAGCGTTTGTTTTTCACAACTTCCAGCGTTTTAACCCGCGCCCCACTGGGGTCTGCGTATAACACGCCCTACTGGGGGGGGGGGGGGGCTATTCATAGCCCCCCCTCCTAACTCCGAAACTACTGGGCCGATCGTCAAAATTCAAACGGCATCTGATAGCCCCGGAAAAACTGTCGAGCGAAACCTAATTTCATTGACCTCGAGGTCACCGATGACGTCACAGGTCAGGTCAAAGTAAAAATTATTAGCATTTTGGCTTCTTCACGTTTTGGGCCCTGGCCGCCGTCTTACAAGTCAGATCAGGCTCATTTTTGGTTCACACACTCGTGAACAGATGCTCTAGATACTCTGAGGGTACCAAACTTGTACTTTGATTTTCAGGTCAAGGTCAGGTCATCACAGGTCACGAAAATATGATATCATCCGTCGGTCACGTGACACATGTTTTATGGTCCATTTAGGTCAGAGATTTCGAATTTGATGTCGTTTGTGTCATTTGAGGTCATTTTGAGCCAAATTTAGCTCAGGTCAGGTCACTTTCAGGTCAAAAAAGGTCAAATTTTGAAGTTAAAATTTTTCAACAAAAAAGGTGTCTATTGGATGCAGTTTGAGCTCAGGAACACGATGGTGCTATTTATATTGGCGTACGATGGCAAATTCATGCTGAAAAATTGATTTGAAAAATTAATAATTGTTAATTTTTTGCAATAATGCGTATAACTTGGCCATTTTTGAAGATATTTAGCTAAAACTTGCTAGAGTTAGTCATAATAATGCGTTCTATGACATATATTCCGGTTTTTACGAAAAGTCAAAATTTTTTTGAAAAAAAAAAATGTAAAAATATAAATTTTGAGTTTTATTATATAAAATTTTCTAAATTTTCAAAATTTCGAAAATCCGAGATAGCAGTTTGATAGTGCAGTCTATTTTGAGTCCTCTCATGTAAAGGAATTGGATCTAGCTTAAAAACTGAGCTCTTGGGAGCGATTGCCGTGGTTCAATGTTTTGCTTCGAAATCGGCCGAACATGACGTCACTCTGACGTCATTTCCGGCCGACCTATGGTAGGTACGAAGTTCAAATTTTGACACAAGGTGTCAAATTGATGCAGCCGAAGGTACTGAAAGTTTGGCGTCGATACGTCAAGCGGTTTGGAAGTTATTGCAGAAAAACGGGAGGGGGGCTATAAATAGCCCCCCCCCCAGTGGGGCGCGGGTTAAAGAGCGCCGGGCCTTCAGTAGAGCGGCGAGGTGACAATTGCCCCTACATCATGTGGTTTACTGGCGCATACCTCGAAAAGTAGCAGGGAAAAGCAGCAAAGCACCTATATGGAACAAAAGATGAGTAATCAGAGGCTAGTATAAAATGTTCATTTTTAGCCGCTCGAAATAACGTTTTTATAAAAGTCTAATTAAAAAATTGGATATGATTTTAAATTACGTCTTGCAGCTGCTTGCAAACAGCTAGCTTATCTTGCAGAAAAGCGATGCAATATGTCAGAATGATGTTGGCACAGTGAACAACAGTGCCCTGAACTAGTCTGACAGGAAATTTCGTTCAAAACGACGATTGGTCAACTAATAAATTACCACTAAAGTTCATCATTAAAATCGGTAAATGTGGTGGCCTATAGAGAGCCTAAATTGTCTTGTGTTTGGTGACAACTGACGACCTCAATTTTGACCTTAGGGCAAAACTAGCATCGGAATCGTATTCTTCGATCAATTTGGGATTAAATGATACCTATTTTGTTCATATTGCGGACAGTCAGTTTGGGGGAATTTCTAGCGCTTTTTCAGGCTGCCGGCCTACAGTGCTCCGTGGCGCTGCATGATGAATTCCATCCCCGCCTCCACTCCCCCGAACCTCTCCGACCCTCCCGGTGCCTCTCAGGCTCTCCGTTCCTCCCCACCCCCACTTCCCTAAATCACTCCGACCCTCCCGGTGCCCCCTCCCCTGACTCCCGTCCCTCCCGCACTTGGTCGGTAGCGTCTCAGCCTGCCCCCTCTCCTCCCCCTCCCCCGGTCATCCTTTCAGATGAGTTCCGGGTGGACCCGTCCCGGCACCGGGCTGTTAATCTGGCCACGCTGACGGGAATGTTCAGTGAAATGGCTTGTTTTTCATTAGCGGTACCCCGATCTGTGTGCCGCCCTCAGGAATGTTAGGCCCCCGCCATCTGAGGGTCTTGTCGCAGTGACTTCCTGCCCAGGCCCGACTGGTGATTTTAGAAACGGCCTCAGATAGAATTTACGTTTCTTGTTGATTTTGTTTGATATGAAGTTTAGGTATGTGCTACATCTGGTCCTGGTAACCCTGCGAATAACTGTATTTAGGTAGGTATTAAAGCATTGCAATGACGTTTAAGAAAGAAGCATGTTATTATCGGTAGGGGCATTATCATCGAAACTATTAAATGATTTCGGTAACTGCTTCGGTCCAGAGACTCCCAAATCGGTCCCCATAAGCGTGACGCGATACTGCTCGAACCGAGCACGTTTAGATGCCTCCTACGAGTCATCTCTGTCATTACCTGTTTCCGATAAAATGCTTATCCTACTAAATGAAAAAAGGTTTACCATGCCACAAGGCGGTCATTTTTTTTTGCCGACAGACACTGTCATCGACAGCATCAAAATCAGCTCTCACAGTCCACTCAATTCTACAATCTACAGTCTCGTCTGACTGTCTATCTATCCATCCGTCCGTCCGTCCGTCCGTCTGTCCGTATGTACTTACATACGTCCGTCTGTCAGTTTATTTGTCCGTACGTCCGGCTGTTCGTCTGTCCGTCTGTATGTCCGTCCGCCCTTCCGTCTGTCCCCCTGCTCGTCCGTCCATGGCAGTTCGTCTGTCCGTCCGGGCGTTCTGCTAACTTTTGTTTGTTCTCTCTGAATGTGTATCCGTCTATTTGTTCGTTTTTTTCGAATTATCTTTTGTCGTTTATTCTGTTAATGCTTTTCTTACTGTGAATCTGTCTGTCGGCCATCGTCGGGACTCAGGAGGTTTAGCTGCGGTGACTGCCCGCCTGAGCCACGGGGCAGCGGTGCGCCGAGCCAATCTGAGACTCCCGGCTCCCACCCACCACCGTCGCTCTGTTCCGCGCTGGTCTGAGGCCCAGCACTAGAAGCGTCGGTGTTACTTGCTGGCTGGCAGCGCCACCGTGGGACTCCCTCTGCCTCAGTCTGAGATTCCCTCTGCCTGAGTCTGAGACTCCCACCCCATCACCGGCGCTCTCTGCGCCGCGCCGCGCCGGTCTGAAGCGCCGGCCACCGCCCACGGCGCTGGCCGGCGGCGCCGGCGGTCATTGCCATGACCGTGAAGTGTGAGCGGACCGAACGGGATCGCGATGCGGCGGCGGCCGCTCTGGCCTGGCGGGACCACCTGGCACTGGGGCTGTCTGGGAGACTGCGACAGACCGTGGACAAAAAAATGGCTGTGGCAGACAGCTGCGACAGTCGGCGGATAAAAGACGGTCGACAAGAGACGACTGAACACACAATGAACAAAAGACATGACAAACAGACAAACCAGAGACGAAGAAAGCAAAAGATAAGATAAAGCACATAAAAACGAAAATTCAGACCGAGCTTTATATGTGGCAGCATAATTGAAAGCCAATATGAGTGAATGCATGCGCATGCATGCACACACATACATGCACAATACATGCACAGTTCCTTGGCGCGTTGAAGCACACTAACCGTACCGGCGACTGGTTGACAGAGTATGATGGCGGATGAGATGACTCGTCCTGAGACTGAGGGCGTCGTCACCATGGTGCTGCTGCCGCGCCGGATCAGCTTCCTGGCCTGGATGGGGGTGAAGGAGAGCCTGCTGAGGTCGACCATCCTCAACATCACCAGAGACAGCGTGAGCCACGAACGGGGCAAATATTTGCCATTCCAGATGCGTAAATTAATTAAACATTTACTTCAAGGGTCAATATAAAAATGCTACAGAGGTATCGTGTCATCATCGGGATACTGGTTTAATAATTAAAATGATTTGTTCATAAAAGCCTCGATGCGCCTAAGTTTAATTCAATAATTATGTTTCGTGATGGAATGAAAATGCATTTGAGCGGCATGAATTTCCGCCTATATGTTAGTGCACAAAATCTGACCATAACATTGACATAAATCCGTCGTTTTAAGCGCTAGTAACTCGTAAGTCGTATTTCCTTCATTATTTCAGGTTTCCAACGACACGGAGCTGGAGTGGGTTTACGTGTCGCCTTCTCCTGTCTACCGTCCGCCGCACATACTGCTCCACTTCCTGATCGTATGGCGGGGCGATCGGCCAGCACTGAGCACCGTTACACCGACCGGCGGCCCTGCCAGCACCTCAGCGGCCGGCTCCGCGCCGCCGGCCACCGCGACTCCGCTGACCTCTGACCCGGCGCCGACCCCGGCGACCTCTGACCCCTCACCGACACCCGCGGCGCGCCGGCGGCGGCGGCGGGCGGCCAGCGCCGACAGGGAGGGGGCCATACCCGCCTGGATGCTGGCCGAAATGATCGCGGACAACGCCGAGGAGATCGGAGACATGGTAGGTTATAACCGCAGGTTGTTGAAATAGAGAAGGGCTATTCGTTAGAGTTGTGTTCTTCTATTGGAGACGGGTAGCAGACGGGTGGCTGAAATGGGGACGGGCTCCCGAAATGTGTTATAAGCTAGGAAATACACCAAAAATATCGATCGTTAAATCAAACATTCGATGAAAGTCCGTTACTTTCGTGCTCATGAACACCTAGTTTAGGACAACCTGCGTTCATTTATGGTTTTATTCATTTGCTTTTAGTCTGCTAGCCTTTTCTGGACTTGCCCCGTGTTGATGGTTGAATTGAAGCCCCCTCCCCCCGGCCTTGGTGACCTATCTCCGCTGACATTGCTGCGCTCTCTCGCCAGGTGTCTGCGGACGTGGAATCGACCTCGGCCGGCCTGGGCCCGCCCTCGTCCTCCTGCTCCCAGGAGGAGGGCCTGCTGGGCAGCAGTGGTCAGGTGATGGTGATCCTGGCCGCCGCCGCCGCCTGCTGTCTGTGCCTGGCGTGCGGCGCGCTCGTCTACGTGCGCCTGGTGCGCGACTCGGGCCACTGGGAGCCGCAGCCCGCCTACCACGAAGGGGTCAGTGGCTCCAACATTGTGCTCTATGACCGCAGCGCGCTCAAATGCGAGACCTGCCACTCGCCTTACATCTCGCCGCGCTTTATGTACAGAACCTGAGGCGCCGGCTGATCAGGCTCAGCGCACCTGTCTGTCTGGCTCAGCATTCTGCATAATTTTGTATCAGGTGTACCTTGCATCAGCATAATATTTTAAGCAACATATTTATCGTAATAGTCCTAAGATCGTTACAACATTCATACAATGTTATGACATTTTATTGCTATTGTTTGCTAAACCAATTGTGTATTTCGGCGGTTAAGTCTAGTCACATTTTCTTACAATGGCTTGCACTAAACTGATGTAAATTATCTAAATACACCGTTGACTGGTCGGCCTGTGTTTGTCTCGCGCTGCCGAGTGTCTGACCCGCGCGACTGGGGCGGCCCTCTGCCAGGAGCGAGTCGGAGGGCTGGACCTGCACTCGGACGCCGACTGCAAGAAGGGCGAGGAGCCGCCGGACGGCACCGGAGCCGAAGTGGTGCCGCTCACCGACGTATCCAGAACGTCGCCCGGCTCTCAGCGCGGCGACGCCAGGGTCTGACGGCTGTCCGGGGTCTGCCCTGATCTGACGGCTGCCCAGGGTCTGTTTGGGGTCTGTCCGAGGTCTGCTGAGGTCTGCCGAGGTCTGCCGGGGGTCTGCCCGTATAATCTCTCCGGGATCTGACGGCTGCCCGTGGTCAGCCCGCGGCCTGACGGCTGTTCGAGATCTGCTCGGGGTCTGCCCGGGGCCTGCCCGGGACCTGGCGCCCGTTCGCAGGCGACACCGCGGTATGATGATTCGCTCTGGAGACGTCTTGGTCTGGCATAGTGCGACGATGGAAAAGGCTTCAGGATCTGACCGAACGCGGATGATTCTGGTGCGTGGAGGCCGGAGGGTCTGACAGAAATGTCATGATTTTGATAGAAAAGCGGGAGAGACAGAGTTACGTTTCGTGGTACACTCGGGGGCAGATTGATGTTCCACCACTCCCTACCCATCGGGCTCCCATGGCTCAGCACTGGCTGCTGCCAGTGGCAGCACTGGCAGCACTGGCACTGGCAGGCAGTGTTGAGCAGTGCTGAGGGCAGGCAACACTGACAGCAGCTAGTGCTGAGCCATGGGATCGCCCGATGGGTAGGGAGTGGTGGAACATCAATCTGCCCCCGAGTGTACACACAGGCGTCAGTTTTCAGTGGGGTCAGGTAGTGCTTGGGTCTGAAAGTGTGGAACGAAGAAGCCATCGGAATCCATCGGGAACAGAGACGACGCCAGAATCTGGTGAGACACCTCGACGGTGGAAGCCCATGACAATTAGTCACGGTGTGCTGCTCTTATTGTCGTAGTGGGGACGGCTAGAGACCAAAGGGATTGGAAACCTGCATTGGCTCGCACTGTGTGATGCTCGAGGTAGATAGCGAAGTACTTCGAACCAGATACAGAACAATAAAACAGTTTGTATGCGTGAGTCGTGACTAGAAATAGCAGGAGGAACGCGTTCATCAGTGATGTAATACGAAACATAGGCATAAGTTGGGCATAAGGTATCTTCTAGTGCGAATTGGCACTAATTCTTCCTTGCAGGACAGTTCCAATGCTTATTTAGCATTTAGGCACTCAAATCGCGCCACAATAGCGATTTGCGACAGTTGCATTGCAAATGTATTAGGATCAAAGAAGTAGTGCTATGAGACAGTCTGTGGTGCCACTTTAGAGCTTATGCTATTTACTGGATTTTTTTATAAGGTGCGTGTTCATTGTCTGATAGTAAGTCCGTATGCGTGTCCTTGTTTCGTTTGCTTTTAGCTTCGCAGTTTGTTGTCGAGCGTCAATGTTATTTTGTGTCGCACAACTCAGTGCCCACTTTATCTAGGCACTTGTTGGGTCGTAAATTGAATAAATATGACAATGAGCTAAGTCTTGTTTCAGCAGCCACGGGCACTTTTCGAAAACCGGACATCGGGGAGTATCGTTGCAGCATTGAGAAAGCCTTGCATTTCTGGAGGGCTCCAGCGGTAAAACTAGTAAAACATACACGGCACCGGACTCGGAGACAAAGAACGTTGTCATACAATACAAGTGCATTCAAATATACAGATGCAACTAAAGCTAAACCAGGGCGGGCACACAGCACATGACGTGCTAACAGTGCAGTGCTCAGTGTTTACAGCCGCGTCCACAGAGCTCTGTGAAGCGCTCAGCCGCTGCTGTCGGCTATAGTGAGACCGCCGGCCCGGGGCGTCCCACCGACCGGCGCCCTAATGGGTAGCTGGCAGTCCGTTCACCCTACCGGCTCCGTTATAACGTGCAGAGCAGCGCCGGCGGCCCGGCGCAGAGAAAAAAATCAGCAGAAACTCGGCGCCGGAGCTGCCGGAGCCCTCAACGCTCAGCCAGCAAACTAACACCACTGACGGCAAATTTCACATGTAAAACGTGCACTCTTATCTAAATTTGTAACACGTGCCACGCTTTTTCACTAGAATCTCGTTTTTAAGTCTGATAGCTTCCTGGTCTGTGTGCCAAGCTCGGTGCGGTTTTTTCTCGTCGGTCGCCGGCGGCCTGCCATTCAGTGCGAGCCTATAAAGGCGTGGTGTGGACGACCGGCGGCGCCAGTGGTGAGCCTCCCCGAACACAGCCGTCATGAGGAGCTCCACGTCGCTGCTGTGGCTGCTGGGCGCTGCAGTGCTCGCCGTCAGAGGTAAGAGTGATTTACAGCTTCCAGTTTATTGTCCAAATAACACCACCGACAGACCCGGTAGGTTTAATCAATGGCATTGGCTACGATGCAAATATTTACGTTTTGGATTTACTTTGCGCAAATATTTGGTAAGAGAAAACTTTATTGACTTTAATAGTCCTAGATGACAGTAAAAAGTCTTATGTGTAATAGTGTGAGTAAAATACTTTTGTGTAGGTATGTCCAACATTGAAAACGTCTACTTTTAAATATGCATGTGTCCAAGACTCCGCAAACACCCAGTGCACGACCTGTCACAGCCCGCTAACACTCCCCCCCTCCCGCTGCCCTTCTCCGGCAGCCGAGCACCATGACGGCCTGTTCAGTTTCGGCGGCCTCGAGTCGCTGCGGGACCCCGAGTGCGTGCCCGAGTCGTACCGCCTGCCGGAGCGGATCAGCGCCATCGCCGACGAGTGCATGCGCCGCGTGGAGCAGGCCTTCGAGTCGCAGGACGACCTGGACAGACTCAGCGCCGAGCTGGCCGTCCGTGAGTGGAGTGGGTCCGGGGGCAGGGATGCAGGACACTGGCCGTCCGTGAGTGGGTCCGGGGACTGGGACAGGACACTGGCCGCCGTCCGTGAGTGGAGTGGGTCCGGGGGCAGGGATGCAGGACACTGGCCGTCCGTGAGTGGAGTTCAGGGACAGGGACGGGGACGGGGACACTGGCCGTCCGTGAGTGGAGTTCAGGGACAGGGACTGGGACAGGGACAGGGACAGGGACAGGGACAGGGACACTGACCACCGTGAGTGGAGTTCTGGGACAGGGACAGGGACGGGGACACTGACCGCCGTGAGGGGAGTTCAGGGACAGGGACAGGGATGGGGACACTGACCGCCGTGAGGGGAGTTCAGGGACAGGGACAGGACACTGGCCGCCGTCCGTGAGTGGAGTTCAGGGACAGGGACAGGGACGGGGACGGGGACACTGACCGCCGTGAGTGGAGTTCAGGGACAGGGACAGGGACAGGGACAGGGACACTGACCACCGTGAGTGGAGTTCTGGGACAGGGACAGGACACTGGCCGCCGTCCGTGAGTGGAGTTCAGGGACAGGGACAGGGACAGGGACACTGACCACCGTGAGGGGAGTTCAGGGACAGGGACAGGGTTCTGGCCGTCCGTGAGTGGGTTCAGGGACAGGATACTGGCGGCCGTGAGTGGGCCCAGGATCAGGGTATCTATATGATTTCAAGCTTTTACGACTAGACATCTTAATTCAAGGTAGGTACGTTTTTCAAAACGTACCTACCTTGAATCAGGTATCTACTCCGTCCGCGAATGGGTCCGGGCCCGGGGACAGGGCCATGGCCGTCCACTGTCCAGGAGTGGACAGAGGGGCTCTGTAGGGCGCTCGATATCAGATGTGAATTTACCAACTCGGCATTGAAATAAAGCTTTTGATAATGCCGTTCATGGTGGTGATAAGGGGTGGATGCAATTAATTAAGTGCAAGTTATGCATATAACTCTTCTTCAACTATGCGAAAGCTTTTGGTCTGCGTTCTAACATCCCATATGCGGTTCCTGTGTCTGGGGCTGTTTTACCTTGACATTGACCTGACCTTGCCTGCTGACCTTGACCCGGGCAGTGAACGACCCGAAGAACCAGGCGCGCAATATCGGCGGCTCGGTGCGCCGGTTCCAGCTCGGCATCCGCGACTGTATGGCCGAGAGCATGGGCGTGGTAGACGACGCCGGAGAGTTCGTCGAACAGAGGGTGAGCAAAGCTGGAGAACCGGCGGAAGAGCTAGCCAAATGTAATGCGGAAATTGTGAGAAATGCACAGCACAGTGGCGGAGCTTCCTATACAGTTGGTGGGGCGGCTGCTCCCCCCCCCCCGCCCCACCAACTTCCTATTTTGCCCCACCAATAAGCATTTTGCCCCATCAACTTCAGCTGATTTGTAAGACTTGTTGTTTTGCAAATTAACCTTTTTCGCATTGAGGAGCTTTGGAATGTCTGTGTACTATACACCCGGTCTCTGACGCCGCCCCGTGTCCCCCCGCCGCCCTCAGCACCGTGACTGCTATGTGTCATCAAGGCCCACCTCTGACGCCGCCCCGTGTCTCCCCGCCGCCCGTCCTCAGCTGGAGGAGGAGATCTCGGCGCTGGGCTTCCCGGCGCCGTTCGAGCGGGACGTGCAGGCGGCGTCGCGCGCCTGTCTGCACCACACGCCGGCCGACCTGAGCGTCGAGCAGCGCCAGAACTTCTACTACGTGTGCCGCGACTCGCTGCTCGAGAGCAGCTGCATGTACAAACGGCTGGCGCGCGACGACCCCGACCGCGCCCTCGACATCGGCATCCAGCAGACCGAGTGTCTGGAGAACCTGAAGCCAACGCCCACGGTGAGTTGAGCAGACTGTCTCCTCTCTCCCTCTCTATCCCTCACGCATAGCGCATATTTAACCCTGCAATAGTAAGCTGCAGATTCGGCTAAATGTGTTTTGAGCAATGGATTGTTAAAATCAGTGACCAATGGAGCCTTGCGGTTAAGACTTACAGTGATCTGGCCATTAGGGTCTCGTGGGTGATGCCTGATAGTGGGGCCCACATAGTGATTTCCCGGTCCTCGGGTCTGGGGTCAAGCCAGGCAGCGGATTGTTTCTACTAAGGAGATTGCATCCTTGGAGTGCAATGACATTCTCTAGGCGTCTCTCTGTCTCGCCGTCTCTGACCCCATCCCGTCTGTCCGCTCCCCCAGATCGTGTCGGCCATGGACGAGTGTCGGGACGCTCACGAGGTGCCCGTCCAGTACGCCACGCTGCGGCGGCGGCGCAGTGTCCCCGACGCCGGCGCCGAGCCTCTGGAGGGCTCCGGCGAGACTGAGGAGGCGGCCGAGAAGCCGGCGTCGGTCACCGAGCGAGTGCACCGGTTCATCTACTGCGTGTTCGACACGATCGGCGCGCTGCGCCAGGACGGACAGCTGGACGTGACGCCGCTCATCGAGCAGCTCAAGCAGTTCGAGGGAGACGAGAGGGTCAGTGCGGAGCGCACGTCCAATAATTGGCGCGGTTTGGCAGGCTTTCATGGTTTAGGATTTGTTAGAAGATAGGTGCGATATTCTTCCCCTTCCGTTTTTGGCCACACCTAGGTACCTGCTTTTTGCGTGTGTAAAGAAACCTGCGGCACGCAGCGCCGCGAAACCTGGTATAGCTTATGATGCATGGCCATTAATTTCTAAGCGTGTGTAATATTTTTGACCCTAGGACACATAAGGTCAGGCCACCAGGTCAAGTTGACTGACCACGCCTCTAAAAATTTGTGATTCTGCCATTCCTACAGACCACTATCTGACCACTTTTGTTGTCGTGCCGAGTTTAGCTGTTTAGATGCTCGAGTGATTACCTTGGCCTACAATTTGTGAGACAGCGTGACTGACCATTTCACGGTTTTGCCCGCAGGCTGTGAAGCTGCAGGTCGACGCTGCCACCCACTGCCAGGACAAGACTTCGATCGAGGAGTACAACATGTGCTACTACGACGACGTATCAGCAGGCTGCCACATCTTCAAAGTTCAGCAGGCCTTCCTAGCAGGTACGTGCCTACGTGGAGTACATTTTTCTTTTATTACAAAATATTGCAGTCGGTAATTTAAATAAACAATGGAAATAATAAACATTTGAATTCTAAATAAGTTTTGTTTAATTAATCTTTATCAGAAGATCAAGCGGTAAATCTGCTTTTAGTCGCACAAGTAAACCGATTCATTAAAAAGCTTTGCAGATTGTATTGGGATGCCGTGCTATGAAATTATAGCGAGCCGTTTAGTAAGCGAACGACAGTAACGCATGCTCTATTGCGCCAGTCGTTTGTTCAGGCACCACACCCTCCGTATCTCCTTCCCTCTCCCAGCTTCAGGTGACCCCTCACCGCTGCCGGAGTCAGATTCTGACCTCCCCCCCCTCCTCCTCCGCCTCCGTTTCCCAGGTGACCCCTCGCTGCTGCCGGAGTAAGTTCTGATCTCCCGCTCCCCTCTCTGGCCCCAGGTGACCCCGCGCTGCTGCCGGAGTAAGTTCTGATCTCCCGCTCCCCTCTCTGGCCCCAGGTGACCCCGCGCTGCTGCCGGAGTAAGTTCTGATCTCCCGCTCCCCTCTCTGGCCCCAGGTGACCCCGCACTGCTGCCGGAGTAAGTTCTGATCTCCCCCTCCCCCTCTGGCCCCAGGTGACCCCGCGCTGCTGCCGGAGTAAGTTCGGAATTCTGATCTCCCCCTCCCCCTCTGGCCCTAGGTGACCCCGCGCTGCTGCCGGAGTACTAGCCTGTGCTACCGGAGGACATCGTTACCTGCAGCACGTTCACGCGCTCACCTATATTGGCGCTGAGAGAGACAGCTGAAGACCGACTCCGACCGTCACCAGGACGTGGCCCGGGTCAACAGGGGTCACCGTCTCCTCCCAAACTGACCAGCCGATCTTGGTGGCCGCCCAAGTGTGATTACTACTAGTATTCTGAGGTTGTTATCCGGAGCGCTGTTGCCCCGGAGTAGATAGTGGCATTTATTATATGATAATTGTGGGTAAGCGTTGTGAAGGAGAGGCTACGAGAAATATACATTCCTAATGCTCGTGTCACCCTTGTGATGGAATAAAATGAAATGTAAAATGTGTGCTTCACTTATACTGAGCCTTCTTAGCTGAAATAATGCCGTCATACGTGCACTGCCTATGTACAGTACACAGTGAACAGTGAACAGTGCATTGCACAGCATTGACCGGTCTGAATGCCTTGAGCGTGCACTGAGAGCCGACAGCCTGGCGAGTCTCGCTGCGTTCCTGGTACGACACAAGCAGCCACCAAAACAGCCCTATCTTGTACAAAAATAGGCCCTAAAAGGGTCGTCGCGCATGGAACCGTCCCGGAGCACATCAGGTTACAGGCAACTCTGACAAATGGGCCCGCTGTTTTCGCTAGCTGACCCACCAGCAAGGGTCAAAGTTCCACAGAAACGCAGTAAAGAGAGGTCTCCAGGACCGAGCCGGGTGTCCAGTGTGCCTCTCGACCCGTCCATGGGATTTGACACTACAGGGAGCCCGGCTGTCAGTCGTGATAAATGTGGCAGGTCAGCTCCGATCGCGGCTCCGGTCCCTTCCCTCCCCCCTCACCGGGCGCGTCTCCCCTCCCACCGCGAGCGCACCCCCGGCTCCCCGGTCCCCCCGAAATCTCGGCACAGGACACAGGGGGCCAGCAACGCTAGAGGCGACAGTGCATGGCACTGAGGGCAAGACACGAACATGATGCATGCGTGTGACTGGAGGTCTGGGTTGACGCACAGATACGAAAAACGAATTTGATGGAATTGCCAGCGCAAGTATAATATGGATATTGCTTAACCCTCGCCCGTAAACGGTGTTTTGCCACCTTCGCCCATGCAGGGGGGGGGTTGGTGCGACCCCCCCCTGGCGTTTGAAAACGGAGCGTCGTAGAGCTTAGAGGAAAAGACCAACGGATTGCTCTCAACGAGATCTCGCGATTGGTGGTATATTTTTTGGTCCTAGGTCAACATTCGGCCTACTTATGACCGGTCAAAGGTCAAATTTTCGGAAAAAATCTAACTTTTTTCAGATTTCCGCGCCGATTGCGGCAAAACGGTAAGAGATATCGACTTGAAACCTTCACTATCGTGATCCTTGATCAATTCTCTATCATTTGGTGTGTATTTTGATGTCATAACTCTAAAAATGATGCGTTGGGAGCATCGGAAGTCTGCAAGGTCATTTGTGCATTGGGTCACGTCAGGCGTGTGACGTCACTGACCTGACCCTGACCCAAAATGAACTACAAGAAACAACCGACGATGCCTGAAATGGATAGCAAATTCTAATTCAGGGCATCAAAATACCCCGAAAAGGCATACAAGTGCAAGAAGTCATTACAGGTCAACCGAGGTCACTGACCTTACCTTGACCTTAAGTAACCTTCAAAATGTCAACGGACATTGTGCCAATGTCAAATCAGCCAGTTGTGATTCTAAAACAATCCATCAGTGTGTCAGGTCAGTCGGCATTTATACCAATGTGAAGCAATGTCCAATTTAGCGTAAATCTGGCGGGAGGTTGTTCCCTTTATGACGTCATAACTCCGTGACCTGACATGACCTTGACAAAAATAAAATACCAAAAGTTGCGCAAAGGATGCCCCAAAGGGTACTGAAAATTTGAGCAGGCTATCTGAAACGGTTCGGCGTGTAGCTAAGAAAAACCTCAGGAGGGGGGGCTGCACCAACCCCCCCCCCCCTACATGGGCGAGGGTTAACCCTCGCCGGCACAGGGGGGAGGGGGGTTGATGCACCCCCCTAAGTTTTTTTTCGCGAATAACTCGCGTAAAAAACGGTCGATCGCGACGAAACTTTCAGTACCCTCGCATTGATCAATTTTACACCTAGGGTAAGGTGCCTAATTAGCGACCCCCTTAATTTGAGCCGTCATTGCTCACGCTCTGTGGGTGCCACTGTATTACTGGCTTGATTTTCGGAGAGATCGTTCATTTTTCTATTAACCCTCGCCCATGTAGGGGGGGTGCAGCCCCCCCCCTCCCGAGGCTTTTCGGAAATAGTGCAAAAACGGCGGCGCGCAGCGCCGCCAAATTTTGGGTACCTTATGGGGCAAACCTTGCGCATCTTTTGCTAAAAAAAAAATTTGACCGGGTCATGTCAGGTCACGGAGTTATGATGTCACAAAGGGAACAGCCTCCGGCCGGATTTTCACAAACTGAGTGCCAACGCCCGAGGTTTCCTGCCGGTGGTACGGACATCGGTTGATGGATCGTGATGAAACTTCCCATGCATGTTGGGGCAAGTATTGGCTATCATATGGTATAAGAAACTTGACCGGGTCAGGTCAGGTCACGGAGCTATGACGTCACAAGAGGAACAGCGTCCGGTACTATTTTTGAAAAGCGCCCGAACCACTATTTTGCTAATTCTTGTCACCTCAATGGGAATATGCAGCAATATTAGCTTCTATAGGGAGCAAATGGACCTCCCAAATCCAAAAATACAATCAGATTTCAAAAATTTAAATTTTGATTTTTCGAATTTCTGCCGCCGACTGTGACCTTGCCGACTTCCGGCGCTCCCAACGCGCCATTTTTAGAGCTAGGGAAACGAAATACATACCAAACGATAGAGAATTGATCAAGAAACACGATAGTGAAGGTTTCAAGTCGATATCTTTCACCGTTTTGCCGCAATCGCCGCCGAAAGTTGAAAAAGTCTATTTTTCCGAAAATTTGACCTTTGACCGGTCAAAAGTAGGTCAAATATTGACCTAGGACCAAAAAATATACCACCAATCGCGAGATCTCGGCGAGAGCAATCCGTTGGTTTTTTCCGCTAAGCTCTACGACGCTCCGTTTTCAAACGCCAAGGGGGGGGGTCGCACCAACCCCCCCTGCATGGGCGAAGGTGGCAGATCGCCGTTTACGGGCGAGGGTTAAAATATAGTCATTTTCTGCACCAATATTCACTAACTTATTTGTAGTGAGCATTTTGGCAAACCATTGCAAAAAACGCTAATAGGGAACTCTTCCCGATTAGCGACCGGGGAGGGTCGCTAATAAGTCTATGGGTTTCCCCATATTAAAAATGGCAAAAAATGGACGACGGTGAAAACAGGGCGCCTGGGGCGATTTGCTCAAGGTTCGTTAAATTTACACGTGACGTTTGGGATATAGAAGGCCCATGGAGCGGGAGAAGTTCCAAATGTCACGTGACTAATATGCCCTCCGGCGCCCTGTTTTCACCGGCGCGGCGTCCCAAAAAATGCGACGCCTGAAAAGATGAAATATGATCTCAAAAAGGTAACCTATACGCAAAGCACTCAATCACTCGAACAGGAACGTTTATCCAACATTTAAGTAAGTAAAAACTGATCACGTGATGCTCCGAGGGCGAAAAGAAGGCGGAAACCCAAATTTTGCGGGCTATCTCGTATGATATTCGAGGTCCGCGCTGAATTCGGCACCCCTGCAGTCGGTGACGACATTTGGCATCCACTGCCACACATTGCAAGCTTCAGCAACACCTCATTTTCATTTCTCTCTTTTCCCCTTTCTTTCCCTTCTTGAGCTATTTGCGACCATGTCAGGCGCAAATAGGAAATATGAGTTGCGACACATTTTTAACCGCCATGCTGTGCACAATTGAGCGATTCACTATGGGAAAACAACAATCAATTGAAAGAAGGAATGTCGATTCAGAATAAAAAAGTTGCATCATCCTAATGTGCATCGCTTTTCATCAGAGAGGGCCCAAACACACACGTTTTGGATAAGAAAATCGTCATTTTTATTTAACCCTCGCCCTGGCAGCGCATTTTTCATAACACGGCCTGTCAGGGGGGGGGGGGTAGATGCGACCCCCCCTCGCGATTGGCTCCTATGGCACTAGAAACACCAAATTTGGTAGGTAGGTGGGCCCCCTGGAGTTCTCGCCCCTGTGCAAATTTGGTTGCTCTAGGTCAATATTTAGGGGGGTTTTGGGGGGTATAAATGTAAAAATTTCGCTAAAAACAGGTCAAAAGTTCTTCGCTTATAACTTTTGATCTAATTAAGATAGAGCAAAAAGAAAAGCACCAGTGATCTCAGCACGTCAAGGCGCGTCGAATGATATACTTTGTAGCTTGCTTAAGTGTACTTAAAGTTTTCTTAAATTTTAAGTAAACTTAAATTAATAAATTAAGTTCATGTTAACCAAATTGCATCATATTGCATATCATTGGATTCGGCTGATCACCAGGAACACAATGATACCATTTTTTAAGCTCTAGCGTCATTATGTGCCAAGTAATTGGCAAAAACGTCATTTGACCTCAGTTGACCTCATTTGACCTGACCCATGGATAAGTACACCAAACAAAGAAGCACCAAGTGACCTGCTGTTAAGTACTGTGGTTTCAAAGCACAAAAGTGATAGAACGAAGCGGATATCTCCAGTATTTTCCGAATTTAGTATTTTCCCATAGGCTTAACATTACGACGTAATGACCTCTAACTGACCTCAGGTCAGTGAACTCAAAAAAACCGAACTATATGTTATACAACTCGGTGAACTTAGCACATCCTGAAAGTTTGAAGGAAATCAGTGCAAAACTGTGAGTTGGACAGGTGCAAAAAGAAAATTGAAATTTGACCATGACCTTGTACCGGTTTTTCTGACCTGGTGACCTGACCCAAAGTCACTTGGACCTGAAATTTTCAGGTCATATGTAAAAAGGTTTCCCCATAGGCTGTGCCAAATTTGGCGGCGCTGCACGCCGCCGTTTTTACGCTATCTTCGAAAAACCTTAAGGGGGGTCGCATCGACCCCCCTGCCAGGGCGAGGGTTAAACTCACTTGAAACGTCCCACCAGAAACATCGACGACCGGGAAATAGTTTAATTTGATAACCAAAGTATGGCTGACCTTTTGACGATGTTTTACCCCGTTTTCTCCTGCCAGTTTTTCTGTAGGGAGGTGGGTCGCAAATCGGAAAGGGTCGCTTATTAGGCACCTTACCCTACCCTGAAAATTTCATGACCCTGACCCAAATGACCTTTGACCTGTGACCTCTTTTCCGAGACCATGTTTGGCCGGAATCGCGATTCGGCGTATGTCGGCTC